ATATAAATATATATAAAAATGATGTAAGTTATTGAGCTTCATCTTCTGGACAAGAATGCCAAGTTAGCCTCTCTTCATAAAAAGCAATGACGATTTGAGGACATTTCATATTTGCCTCTTTTGCCAGCACCAAGTCAGCCTCATCTGAATCTTTCCTATTGTGAAGAAAAAATTCAATTAAAAGTTTGAATTGTTTGTAAATTGAGAATTATTCTTTTGACTTTGTTTTTAAAAACAGGTCATGGTTTGCTGTTCAGCACTTTTAAAACTATTACTGAAACAGTAATTTTCCTTTCAACAAATAACTATCCTCTACCTTCAATGATGGAAGTTATAAAACTCTTCCTAGATATGGTGTTACAAATTTTTAAGAAAATATTTATTTTTGCTTTAAAACCTAATCATCTAGGGGACTGAGATGGCTCAGTAGAATAAGCACTTGCCTGGCAAGCGCAAAGGCCTAAGTTCAATCCCTGGTTCTGCCAAAAACAAAACAAAACTAAACAAAACAAGAAACCTGGGGCCAGGGAGATGTCTCAGTGGAATAAGTGTTTCCCTGGCAAGCGCAAGGGCCTGAGTTCAATCCCCGGTTCTGCCCAACCCCCCCCCAAAAAAAAAAAAATTCTGGGCCTGGGGAGGCGGCACAGTAGAATAAGTGCTTGCCTGGCAAGTGCAGGGTACTGAGTTCAATCCCTGGTACCACGAAAAAAGAAAACCCAGTTTGTACATAAATTACCTATTTCTCAGTAAGAAACCTAATCACCTAAGCACTTACCATTTCATGAGAAACATCAATTCTCCACTACTATCTGTGGCGCCAATTATTCGTTCAGGATCAAGACCTCTAGCAAAACCTCTAGGTTTGTCAGCCTATTTAGAAGAAGGAAAGTGATTAAATAAAACTTCCATCAAAGTCTTCCAATATTGAAACAGAAAACTACTGTTAAGGGTCTGCACTTGACATTGTGAACACATCATAATCAGAAGATATTACAGCAAAACAGTACATGGGATACAGAAGAAACCAATTCCTTTATTCCTGGTGATAATACTTACATGCTCACTAAAACTTAGTATTTCAAATCACTTTTAGCAAGTAAGCCTGAATTATCCACATATCTTTTAATAACCAACATAAACATAGAAAAATTTTATTTTTTCTCCTTTTAATTTATGTATTTGGTACACGGTCTCGCTACATAGCTCAGACTCATAGTGATTCTCCTGTTTCAGCCTCCCAAGTGCGGGGATTACAGGCATGTATGTGCCACCATGCCTGGACTCAGTGGGGCCAGCATGCGGTACAGGGGATTGAACCTGGGTCCTTGTGCTTGCGAGGCAGGTGCTTAGAAGCTGAGCTATCTCCCTGGCTCCACAGTAAAAACTTTAAATGAAATACTTACATGATTTAGTTTCAAAATCAAATTTGTAATCAACAACTCGTTTTCTCACCCCATCTATAAACTGGGATATCTATAACCTAAACAGAATTGTCATGAAAACATAATGGACTGTCAACTATAATCTGTATTACAGGCTTAGTGTATGAGCCAAGAAACCAACTGAGCACGAAGACCTTTTACTAAATTATCATACCAGGCCAGGCAAGGCAAAAAAAAAACCCTTAAAAGTCAAGATCGGAAGTTACCTTATTTGTCCAGACAGTGAGGCAAAGACTGAATCAAAGCACATGGGTAGTGAGTTACTCAAATATTTCAATTTATGCCAATAAACTAGTTATTAAAAATTATAGACTAAGAATTAAAACCTGTTTGGCAACACCAATCGTATCTATATATTTTTATGTATTTAGTACAGGGTCTACAAGGTCTCACTACACAGATCAGACCTGTAGTGATCCTCCTATCTTCAGCCTCCCAAGCGCCACCATGCCCAGTCTCAACTGCTGTCTCAGTGTGCCCCGGGGCAGGGGCTAGCATATCTATACAGATAAAAAATGTCTAAAAATGTTTAGGGGTTATTTTTTGTGTTGTATTAAGTCCAGGCTGGCCTTGAATTCATTGAGATACTCCTGCCTGAGCAGGGTTACAGGTGTACAGACCAAACCTGGTACACAGATCACATATATAAAGTACTTTAAAAAAAAAGAAAAAAAAAAAAAAAAAAGGGAAAACAACTTTTCTGGGAGTCAGTTGCCACTAAAGAACTACACCAAGACCTGCCATCTGGACCGCTTTCAATGTAGTGAAAAAACCAAACCAAACCACCTAAGTGATCCTGTATGTATTATTTGTATTTAAGGCTGCTAACTTTAGATCAAAGCTAAGTGATCTGAGGGGGATCACATCCATCAATCTATTAAAAATAGCACTAGTGGTGTATTATAAGTGGCATACTGCACTGCACATTTGTATGCTAACTCATGCCTATCCTTTTTAACCTAAATATTCCCAATTTATAAAGGGCTTCTTAGTGTTATTTGAAAATTATATGAATCTTAAGTCTTTAGAAAAGTCAAAACTTTTTACAATAAGCTGGTCTAGTAGGCAATGTTTCATACTTACAGCATCTCTTTTTTTCTTTGACTTGCTGTCATCAGATTCACTGTCAGATAAAGATTTTCTTTTTGTACCATCTTTTTCTTTACCAGCTTTTTGCGAATTAAGAAATGCTTCAATTAACTCTGGACAATCTAAATTTTCTTCAGGTTCCCATGTATTGTCAGCACTGTATTCAGTAAAAAATATTGATTCAATTAAATGTGACTCATGACCATCCTCTAGATTTACAGGTATCTGGGGAAAAAGTTTTCTGTATTACAGATAATGGTTATTCCTTCCCTACCCAGGAATTCTTTTGAGAGGATCCGTCTAGATTTGCTTTTGTATTACTTGCTTTAAAGTTCGAAATGGACAATGCTCTATTCTACTCCCAAGGTTAAGTGGATGTGACTCAAAGAGTAACTGAAGCTTATTTTTCCAAGTTCTACATTCACTTACTTTTTTTTTTTTCTTTTGGTGGAACCGGGGGTTGAAGTCAGGCCCTTGCACTTGCCAGGGAAGCACTTATTCTACTGAGCCATCTCCCCAGCCCTCTTTTTTTAGGCAGAACCGGGGATTGAACTCAGGCCCTTGAGCTTGCCAGGGAAGTGCTTATTCTACTAAACCATCTCCCTGGCTCCACTTACTAATAGTGTGTGTATTCTGAGGTCTTGCTATGTAGTTTATGATAGCCTTGAACTAGTAGTGGCAGTCAGTCCTCCTGGCCCTGTTACTCAACACATCTGATAGTTACTAGTGTTTTAGTGGCACTTTGAAACATCAAATAATTTTTTTCTGCAAAGTGCTCAAATGTGGAATTGATATAAAGAAAGGGGTTGGGAAATCAAAAGCCAAATCTAGATAGCCTTCTGTAGAGCTTACAAGCTAAAATATTCCTTATATTTTTAAAGATTGGGGTAGAATTTAAAAATAATACAAAATGGCCATAAAATATTCCTAGAAAGTCATGCTCATTTGTTTAATGCATTACCTATTGCTGCTTTTATACTACATTTGCAGAGATGTTGTAAAAAGAGACAACTCACAAAGCCTGTAAGTTATATATGATGTTAAAAAGGGGGAAAAGAATTCCAACCTGACACATCTAAGGTGAGATCAGCATTTCCAGAAGGGCTGTGAAGGAAATAAGTTATCAATGAACAAATGTGATCTTATGACCACACTAGTGATAGCCTTGTAAACATTCTGTGGTTTAGTCTGAAGCCTTTATAAAACTAAATGGTGCTATTAGTATGTAGCACTCTTGCATCTCAAGACTCCAAAATTCAGAAATCTAAAATGACTGGGTGAAGGGGGGAGTGTAAGTCACTAATGTAATGTTATTTTCAGTACAGGTTTCTACATTACTTACTATGCCCTCCCAGTGATGGTGAAGTTTTCAGAGCTTTCAATGATACAAATAGTGTGCTGCAGCAAGCAAACCACAGGCTTGCACTACTACACTATACTGGACAAGACAGGTTCTCAATCATACTAATGGCCTTTGGTTTGGGGAATAGACAAGTCCATTTCTTTCCAAATGGATTAATGGGTAAAGAATGGAGACAGCTTTTAACGTCTGATGAGATTCTAGTAAAAAGTTCCTACCATTTGAAGGTAACCAATTCTGGTGAACTGAGTATACAGACTTACCCCAGTTGGTTCTGCTACCTGCAAGAAACTTATGACACGTAAGTTATGCTCAGCTAAGGATATTGAAAGGTATTTTCAACAGACAATTTCTAAACCTTTTAACAAATAATTTCCAAACTGCTATGTAGGAAGCTTTAAATGTAAACAGGGGGAAGCTGGAGGTAATAGATATTTGAAACTTGATCATTTATCATATGCCTATCTCTACCCTACTCAGGAAATTACTGATCCATTTTTCAATTATTGATTACTGAACTGTTTTTGCGATGTAAAGTAGAATACAAGCAGATTGGCATAATAAGCACAAGTGCTAAGGAATACAATCTCTATGTTTGAGGTATCTGAAGAACAGCCATCATTATAAAAAAGATCATGTGTGAGACATGTAGCTCAGCACAGCACAGTTCTTGCCTAACTAGCTCAAGGTCCCAGTGCCAAAAATTAAAAAAAAAAAAAAAAAAAAAAAAAGTGTGATCCACTCATAACAAGTAATATCAGGAATCAGAGGATTTAAAAAATGCCCAAGCTCCACCTAAGCAGATTCAAGATATTGTAAGCTTAGTTTAAGAACCTACTATTTCGGTGGTGAACCATTTAGCACTTTCAATGATATACAAACAGCCCACTGTGGCATGCATGCTTCCAATGACCTAGATTATTACCAAGGTCTGTTTTAAGATACACTAGTCTATATTGTATACCTTCAATTTTTTAAATACCTTCTATTCATAGAAAAGCAATGTAAATTATATAGTCTACTTAACACAATATCTAAGTACATTAATATGCAACACATAAAAAACTAGTCTTTCCAGGGTAATAAACTAGACTATAAACCTCAAGACAAGATATATTTAGAATTAAAAATTTCTTTAAATGTACTCATTGGATAATTGACAAAAGATCTAGGCTAAAAAAAAATTTTAAGTCCACTTAAGTGCAATTAAAAATACAAGCAACTCCAAAGTCTCTTACTCTGTAAATCCCTTCCACTTCAGAAAATACTCCACCTTCCCATTCACTACACGTCGGTCCAGTACTTTCTCTACCACAAACTCTTCAGGTTCTGCTTCCTCAACTTTTTTACTTTTTCCATTTTGTTTCTTTCCCATTTTTTGCTAAAACAAAATAAGAGAAAAGTTAAAAAACCCAAACATTAAAAATTTACTTATTATTGTCACATGACAAATTGTTACTCATACATCTAAAAAGTTGATGGACAATAAAACAATGCTATATTTACTCCACTTATCTAGCTCAAACTTATGATCTAACTTCACTGAAGCGACAGAATAAAAAACTATTGGGAAATAGTTACTTTTTCCCAATCTGCAAGACCAAATTGACCCAAGTTCTCATTTTAACTGCAGCATAGCAACCAAAGAATAAAGTTTTATTGAACACTGCAACAAAAATAACTAATGACAGGTCCCACTCGGGGAACTCATGGTAGATCTGATACAGCTGCACCTAAGACAGTCATATCTGTTTCCCAATTCAGACATCACATTAAAAGCCTCACAGGCACACAGAAAAGGTAAATATAGTTATAAAAACCTAGCAGTAACTGTAGGGTCAACCACAGAGACCATAACTTAAGTTTTCCCTGACCAATTGGAACAAATCTATAATGCTGCCACTACAAAAGACTAAGAGAAAACAATTACCTGATTTCTACTCAAGTTCATGAAATGGAATCTTTTTTTTTTTTTTGGGTACTGGGATCGAACTCGGGACAATGAGCTTGCCCAGCACACGCTTATGCTGCAGAGTTACAACCTTGACCCTCATCAAATTCACTTAAAACAGGTTTTTCTCTTTTTTGTGTGTATCATTTGCTGACAGAAGCAGGAGCCTGAATTCAGCCAGTTATTTCTAATAATTCAACCAGATTTGTTGTGTGAAACTGGGTCATTTAAAAAAAACCTGAAATGGTTAATTAGACAATATTAAAAAAAAAAAAAAAAAAAACCTACAAAACTAACTGAACATAAAGTGCTTAATTAAAAAACCAACAACCAGTTCAACTTCCCAATCATTATATAGTACACAAGAGCATGCTTACAATAGCAACACCTCAGGACTACAAAAGGACTATTAAAGTCACGAAACAGGAGTGTACACACTAATCTACCAACAAAAATCCTCTGGAAGTTAAGAAGGGCAAAGAAACTGGGGTACACAGTTTATTTTAATATAAAATCAGATGACAAACTATGATTTTTTTCTTTTTTTGGCATAACTGGGGATTGAACTCATGTCCTTGCCCTTGCCAGGCTAGAGCTTAATTCTACTCAGCCACCTCCCTGGCCCCTACTTTTTTTAAATCTATTTAGTACAGGGTCTCATTACACAGATTGGACTGGTAGTGATCCTGTTTTCAGCTTCCCAAGTGCTCAATCTCGCTGTCTCATTGCACACTAGGGGAGGGGCTAGCAAGGCAGGCTGGGATCCAATCCCCATCCCTTGGTCCCTGCCTCTGCCTAAGCAGATGCTTTAGTTTGCTGAGCTATCTAGCTATCTAGCTGGCCCAACAAACTTCTGAAGTGGCCAATCTGTGGCACTTCACCATAAAATAGAATAAGAAAAAAAAAAAAAAAAAAAAAAAAATCAATGCTAAAAAATTATATGCAACAAAAGTTATATTTTGTGTAAAAGCAATCTAATTTCTTTTCTTTTCTTTTGGAGAACTGGGGATTGAATTCAGGCCCTTGAGCTTGCCAGGGAAGCGCTTATTCCACTGAACCATCTCCCTGGCAAAGCAATCTAATTTCTTTTTTTTAATTTTTATTTTTATTTATTTGAGAGAGAGAGAGAGAGAGAGAGAGAGAGAGAGAGAGAGAGAGAGAGAGG